GCTGTAATTCAGTAAATTTGTTTTTTAATTTGATACAAACCAACATGGATTTGTTTGTCTCCAGGGAAAAATAGAAAAATGTGGTTGAGACCTTTGAGGGTATTTGTTTCTGTCAGCTTGTTAGCAGTTCAGTTGTAACTGGTAAGCTACCAGCACTAGAAGACTGTGTAGGGGGGTAATGCAGTACAATTTACTGTTAGTTGTAGATAATCAAGGTCGCTCCATCCGCCCTCTATAACACTAACTGCTGACTCTGTTGCAGCACTGACTGAACAGCTTCATCGCTGTCTTGATGCACCCTAGTCAATCTGAAAACTGACTGTGAACGGTCACAAGGGCAACCAGATCGCAGGTTCATTGAACAAAGTTGCATTCATTTTGGTCCTGCCCTGTCTCTTTCTCTAGTGTGACTCTAGCATTCATCTGATGTATTGACCATAGACGGTACAATATAAAAGATGGATATAATCGCTATGACGTCACCCACAGTTTGTGATGTTCCATTTTGAAGGCTGGATATGAGTTGGTTTGTTTGTTTTATCATTTTTGTTGTTTAGAAATCAGATGTGACACATAAGGGGCGGGCCTGGCTTGGAAACCACATGTTCATTCGCTTGTCAATCACAATATGTCAGCAAATGAGCATCTGCTAAAATATTTTCCTTTCTAAAATTTGGCATGACCAAAATTTTCAAAATGATTGGCTGAGACCATAAACTGAGCAGGGAAGTTTGTTTGTTTGTTTGTTTGTTTGTTTGTTTGTTTGTTTACCAGCGCAGTTGTCACTCCATAATGACCTTAAGAAAGACTGTAGCTTTAAGGCACTTCTATACTGGCTACACGCTGCACACCTGGAAGCTACCTTTTATACTGTCTATGATAAGGACACAAGAGTGGAGTTTCTCAGTTACTGCTTAAGTGTGCACTGTGAGAAGGCTGACCATTAGCTAGCTTACTGTTATTGTTTGTTTACATGGAAAAAAATATAACATGTGATATTCAGTCGCACATATTAGAATATTTAGTATAAACCTGTGAGATGAACAATTAAAGTAGCACATGTTGAAAAGATGACGGGGTTTTGTTTAGAGCCACTGACAGCACATTGTACAAAAGACTAATTATTGGTGAAAGGCTATATTTATACATCTGGCTACACTGACCTCCACAAACAGTACAGTTCATGACTCAAGTAGGTTATACGAGTACATTAATGTAAAATAAATACTTTTCTGAAAGAAAAAAAACTTTAAACAAATCCATAAATTACTGCTGCTCACTTAAAAATATATGTGAATGAGGAGGGGAGGAGGTAGCTCAATAGGTAGAGCATTCGCCCCATGATTGGAAGGTCAGGGGCTCAAATCCACCGAAGAGCTACCCTGAGGTACCCCTGAGCAAGGCACCATCCCTACACACTGCTCCCCAAGCGCTGGAATGGTGGCTGCCCACTGCCTCGCTGAGTGAATGGGTTAAATGCAGAGAGTAATTTCCCTACAGGGGATTAATAAAGTATAATAAAGGCTTTTTTTTTATGTGATATTTCCATACCAGCTATAAAACATAGAGCAGTTTAGCCAAACCTGATCACAGTTTGTTGTGTGACAATTTAAAACACACGTGTACACGACATCGCTATAACAGCAGATCGTAACATTTTCTATTTGGCTTATGTTGTTTAAAGAAAGTCGTTTTTTCTTTTCTATTTACAGCTACTGTGGATTCAAACTGGGAAAACCAGGTTTTTCTTTTCCAGCACTACACTGAATATGTTTTCACTGACTGAGTCCCTGAAGTATTGCAGTCTACTATAAACGTTTTAGTTTTTCATGGCACTAGCCTCTCTTTTGCTTGATAAACTTCACACATTCTTCAAAATCACTGTGTGTGCTTTTTCCACTAGTGCCCAGAAGAGAAGAGATATAGGTGATGCTAAAGGCTGTCTGTGGGGGAAGGTTTGATCTTTAACTTCATCTCACCTGGCAGTTCCTCATCTGCCAGTAAAGAACATCGGGAAACCTTTAATGCCCCTTCAGTCTTCATTCAGAATAAGACTTGCATTTTTCTTACTTTGCTGTAGGTTAACCCCCTGCTCCCTCAATCACACAC